CCGCAAAAAAAAAAAAAAAAAAAAAAAAAAAAAGAGAAACTGCAGTTCCTATGAAATCGGAAACATATATGCTTACCTACTGGTCAAGAATAAAGAAACGGCTTTATCCTCATCCCTGCTGCTGGAAAGGAAGGGTTCAGTTAGCCCCAAGCGCTCAATCTTTCCTCTGAAAAAGGAGCAAATCTGAGCCACGGGCACCCTCTGCTGGGGCACCCACGGCTGCGTGAGCAGCGCCGGCGGCAGGGCCGGCCTGCAGCCTCCCTGGCCCACCGCCTTTTTATTTCAGCATTAAAATAAAAGACATATTCAGCTGGCAAAATGCAAGTGCTACAGACCCGCCCGAGAGCTGTCGCCCCAGCAATGCACCAGGTCACTGTTACTCAGTGAGCAGCTCGCCTTCAGACCCGGGCAGCAAAGCCCTGCTCGCGCTACGGCTGTTGTTTGGGACAGATTTGGGTTTTGTCCTTTTCCACAGGAGAGGACAAAGGGGCAGACACAGCTCGGGATACGTGCCACCGCACCAGGCAGCCTTTCCATCACGGCTGCAGACACCGAAGTGAGTACTCAACACCTTTGAAAAGCAAAAGGTTTCACTGCAAAGCTGAGCAGGATTCCACCTGCAAGCCAGGAGGGCAGAAACCTTCTCGTGGGACTCCTCGAGGAACCCCAGCAGGGCGTGGAGGCAGCTGTGGCCCCGAGACACCTCCGTGACCGCCGCACAGCAGTCTCCGAGCAGGGGAGGGAAATAAGGCCCAAACTGGGCAATCGGCCGCACGAAAGCCCAGCGCCAGCCACCGTGTCTGCCCTTCCTTCGCGAGGCTGGGCAAAGTCCCCGTGGCCGCAGCAGCCGCAGAGCCGCATGTCCCGTCCTCCATCCCAGGCATCTGGGGCATCCGCAGCCCCCCACCGCCGCAGCGCCCACCGGCCGGGCCCTCCCAGGGAGGCATCTGAAAAACCTCCACATCCACAGACCAGTTTACAGACTTCATTTAGCTCAAAGGAAAGTCCTAATTAGTCACTCTGAGTGATTTACTTGTTCATTTGGAAGGGGGGGAGGGGGCAGACTAAGCTGAATTGTTTGAAATTATCCCTAAAGGGCACTGTAAATTAAGTGTTAATGAGGAATCCTATGCAAAGGGCCACAGTAGCTAAATAAAATAATTAAGGTGCTAAGTGATAACATTCATTTGGTTCTCAATAATTTAGCCAGCCTGGTTTTCAACCAGGATATTTGCAAATGAAGCCACCCTCACACCCTCCCATGCCATCAGCAGGGACGGTGGTGCTGGGGCAGCTCAGCACCCAGTAAGATCAGGCCCGCCATGGAAAGAAAACTTCCCTGGACGAAGAGAACAAGCTCCTGATACCCCTTCCCACCTGAAGGAAGTGCCCTGTTCCATTAATCACCCTCTGGATTTATATATGACACAAAAAGAATTGATTCGAGTCTACAACCAGTCGTTACAGGGGCTTTATTTCAATGGGCTGCGTTTTTCCTCACTACAGCCGTTTTCCAACAGCTCACGTCCATCCTTTGGCAGGGCTGCAGACCTGGTTTACAACCAAATACAACACGGTGTGTTTTCAGACATTCAAGCAGCAATATGTAACAGAGAAACCGCCTCGTCATAAAGAAATTGCTACTGAGTAGTTCCAAATCATACCCAGTTCTCACCAGCACGCTCTCGGCTGCTACGGGGGCGGTGGGCTCAGGCACAGGGTGGGCACGGCTGCTCTCGGTGGCTGCACCAGCCAAGCACTCTCTCACCTGCAGCCCAAATCCTCTCCGCAGCACGAGCGACGTACAAAGTCCCCCGTGTAACAAGCACAAAGCTCGCAGCCATCACCGGGTATTTTACTGCAAGAACTGAAGGATTTGGCTGGCTGCTTTTAAAACCTAGCTCTGCCTCCCTTCCTTGCGGCCGCCCCTCCGAGGTGCCAGTGGGAGGTGTTACCTAGTACAGGCAGGTGTCTGACTTCAGCATTTCTGGTGGTATCGTGTGTCAGCCAAGATGCAGCTCAGGTCAGCGGGGCTCTCCCTGTAACTTGCAGCGACTGTGAAGACCCTGGAAAGAGCGCTTCCATATCCACAGCAACAGAGCACAGCCATGAAACGCCGAGCAGCTTCCCCCGTCAAACAAACAAAAAATTCAATCACCGTGCCTCAGCTTCTGGCTGCAGATGGAGTGCAGGAGAATACCTGTAGGAAAGTAAAAATAAATTTTAAAAAAAAGATCTTTTTTTAAACCACAAGAACATCATTCTGCAGGCCTGGATGTTTGTTTGATTTTTAAATACAGAAATTTGGACTATGATGCCTTTGTGCATCAGAACTGTTTTTACCAGTAGCAACAGAGACATTCAGCGACTCGATCCCAGGGTGAAGCGCTCTGCCAGCGGGTATAGTCAGCATCCGATGGCACAAGAGCTGCGTCTCTAAGGAAAGTCCGTCACCTTCACTGCCTGCAGAACAAAGACACAGCTCAGGTCAGCTCGCAGCGACTGCCACGTCCCTCTTCCCCCCTCCCAAGAACAGTTCTTGCCAATGCTCTGTCACAGCTACACCCTTGCCCCTAAGCCCACAGCAACCTCACCAGCTCCCATGGAGCAACAGCCAAGAACTACCAGAGGCGAGACAGGCACCTTACCTGCCTTCCCTTCCTGGCCCACTCCAGTCTCCCTGGATCTGTTCTCCAGTACCTGAAGTGTTTTTGAGGAATACCTGTGCATGCACAGCGTAAAGCACAGAGCCTTGTAGCCTGAGTGCAAAGATCCCCTGGCGCAAGCAGCCACCGTGCCAGCAGATGGCTGCCCATGTACGCAGGTGGCTGCCGGAGGGACAACGCAGACAAGAGGCCACAGGCCTGATCTGGTCCAGCAAATCCCACATCCCTATTGATAGTGACGGGTTCAGCCTTTTCAGCACACAGTACCACCGGCTGGGTGCAACTTGTGAATGCAGACAGTTTAACCAGAGGCTTCAATTGATTAGTTGTTAAACCATCCAACAGCCCTGATATGTTTGGGCTGATACACTGGTGAAACAGAGTTGAAATCTATCCCAGGTCATTAGTAGTTGTTTGACTCACACTGTCACAAAGGGAAATGGAAAGGGAGAGGCTTTAAACAATCCTGCGCACAGACAAGTGAAAATGCAGAAGACCACAGACCTCCCAGCCCTCTCGGCTCCCCAAAGAATTCTTCCACATTCATTATTTAGAGCTACACAGACAGCTACACGGCTGCAAGAATACCCAGCTCATTTCTAAGGCGTGCTCACCCCCTGACAAAACAGGCTCAGCATGCTGGAAGCCAAACGTTCCCCTTCGACAGCCATACCCCGACGCCAGCTGAACCCCAGACTCGTCCTGGGACGGCACTGCCGGGGCACCCGCTGCCTACCAAGGGCTTCTGTGCCTCTGCCTGCGTGACCAGCGCTGTCACCGAGGACTCGCTCAAGCTCACCTAAATTTAGACACTTAACTGAAGTCTTAACAGCATACGCTTATGCTTTAGGCACTGTCCATGCCACTGGAGCCTCGCTCCACAAGGTAAATGAGCTCTTTGCTGGGCTGAGTTGCCACCAAATTCTTCCCCGGTGTCTACTTCCAGCACCTCCCCAGCAGGTCCCATGCCCCATCCCTATGTATGGATCTGTGCGACACCGCTCCGACCACACAGGGCAGGAGAGTGCTGTTGTTCCCATTTCACAACTGGAAGCTGAGGCCCAGTCTCACGTTTTGCTGGCCTGATCTAACTGGCAAGATGCATTTTGAGCAAGCAAAAGAATGCTTTGAGTAATGCATCTTGCATGACCTTCCCACATGAAATAAGCCACACTGGCAAAAACATCCTTTGGCTGGGGTAAGTGAACCAAAGAAAACCAAAATCCCATCCTAACCATTATTTCGTTCCTCCTTTCTTTAAACCAGAAGTGCAGACAAGACCTGGGTGAGTTATCCAAGGTCACACGGGAAGCCTGGGCGACACAAGGAATCAGAGCGAGGCCTCCCACGGCCCGGCCTGCTTCTTCATCACTAGACTGTGGCTCTCTAGGGATGCTTCAAGAAAAAAAAAAAAAAAAAAAAGAAAAATTATCCTACTTTTTCCTGATTTAAACCACAAACGCT